TACATAAAGATTCATCACTGACTTTTAAGCTATCAACTTACCAGAATCTTTTGGAGCTGATCTACAGTTTGGTTTGTCACACTTTTTCCGTTGATTTCTGCTATTTCGTCCCCTTCATGTAAGGACCCTGGAGAGAAGAAGAAACCAGGAGAGGTGTAGTAACAAGAGAGAGAACCGTGCTATTATAATGGACACTGCAGTAAAATATATATATATATATATATATATTAAAGATCATTACTGACAATTATTAAAAAATACAATATTTAGTGATAGTCCTAACTCTAACCATATCAGACGTGATGTCATCTAAAAAGAAAATCTTCTAACACGCACCAGGTCAGCAGACAACACTCAAATCAGTTCGCTGTGTGATTAATTACCTTGTCTGTGGATCATGCCCCCGTGCAATATTCTAGCCACTGTGCACCTTTGTTTGTCGTTCAGCTTCAGAGTGACCCCCTACAGACAAACACCACAGCCAATGAGGAGGAATCAGTAACACAAATCTGAAAAAATAAAAGTGTGTGTGTGTGTGTGTTGAGGCAGATAGCATACCATTGGCTCTGACGGATTCTTTTCAAATTCTACTTCTTTCATCTTGGTCAGTTCTGCGCCATTCATGTGTCCAGCACTACCATTGGTGTAAAACTCAGCCCCCTTATTCTCATACGTTTGCATAGCCGCCTGTAAAAAAGAAAAAGAAAAAAAGATAACGTTTATTGTTTTATCTCACAATAAATGAAATTGACGTTGCCCAAAATAAAGTTTATACCTGCCTTTACCACACATAATTCTTTTTTTTTAATTGATTCATTGTTCAAAAGACTGACAGTGAGTTCATCTGGACCGGTCAGATCATTAACACACTACTATTTCCAATAACCTGCAGTGGAAGCTTTTTGCTAATGTGTGCCAACAGCCATGTTTCATTTGCAGTTTCAACATATGTTCAAAGTTGAAAATTAACCCAGTGTTATAACACCTCATTAACCACGTCCAGTGATCTGGTCCACCAGGTTCATGTGGTCATGGATACCACCAGTCCCATCATGTGATTGTCATCAAAGACTAGCATTAATGTAAGGAAGCTTTTGGTTTGCTATAGAAAAGGAGATACCAAAGACTGACTTTGTGGATTGAGTGCTTTTAAATGAACCCAAAGAAGAGACCAAAAGCAGGGAATCCCTACCCAGAATATTTCCATGCTACTTCCAGTGTCAACAAAGATCTCAGAGAAGAGATCCACATATTGTTAAAGCTATTTGAGAAAGAAGACAATGCAAATAAAGACAATGCTATCACTGAGGAATCACATTAAATGTGTTTGGTACAAAATAAAACATCCCACAATGATACCTGGGGGGGTAAATCAGCATTTTGTGCACAGCACTCATGTGTAATTTAGAACAATGAATGCACTATATCAAAAAGTATAAATTGGTCACTAAACTGACACCAGAGACACGATTACCTGTGTCAGCACAAACTTTCTTCATGAATATGACACATCAGCACTGCTTCAGCAAAAAAATATACTATCTATCTTCCAGCATCAGCACTACAATAAACCAATAAATATCATTATCGCCCTCCTCCTACTCACCTATAAACTCACCCTAAAATACTGTGCAGAGCAGCACTTATGACTCTTATGACTTTCATCTATGTCCTCTTAATTAAAAGTATGTGATCTTGGTAAGATTATTTTCTTTAACATGTGTATGTCTGTGTTCACATCATTTTGTACCCATGCCTCCTCTGCAAAATGTAAAAATTCTAAATTAAATAACAATTTTCCTGATTTTTGTACTCAGATTTAGAAATTGTGAGTCAAGAGATGCAGGAGTCATGCAAGTCAGCCAGCTGTTTTTCTGTGCAACATGATAGTTATTTACCAGCCATATGCTGTTATATGACAGGACTGTGCAGTACCAGGAGCGAGTATTTGGACCGTGCCCCATGGTGAACAGATGAAATTACATCTGCTGAAGATAGGAGTCTATACAGCAGTTTTGTTATAGATAAAACAACACATACATATTTATCTTGAAACAACACACACTGATTTCTATCTCTGAAATCCAAATGGTGTCTTTGTATTTATTTCTGTTCCCAGAGCGAAACATTTCCTTCTGGAGCTGCTCCAAAGTCGACAGGAAATTAATTTTAGTCTCAACCGCTTGTTTGTTTGTTTGTTATGACCACTGTAAAAGAACTTGATGAAAGTGCGTTAATGAACCCGCAGGGCAATCGTGTAATAGCAGTTTTTCTCAATTTAGAGAACCTAACTATTGGGTAATTTTCCTCAAGGCACAGAGCAGGAGAAGTGCTGACCCTGAGGACGGAGCAGGCAGGAAGCTGACAAAGGTTCCATCTAAAGGTCAAACACTATCACTGATAATCTGCTTCAAACAACTACCTGAAGAACACTAACAGATTTCTCACATACAGCAGGTAACAAAGGAAGCGTGTTAACATATGTGATTAGATTTGAATTGGCACTAAAAGGCTTTTTTTAATTAAACGCATCTCATCAGCAGCTCTTATCACTCACACTATGAGAGCGTAAAGAGAGCACATGATTGAAAGGTATTCATCTGGTTTGTCACAATGTGTTCCAATCACTGTTAACAGTCAACACGTGTAACTGTAACTGGGGTCAGGAAGCCCTTTCTTGACTTGAATGCCAACCGTGGGTGTGGAGAAGCAACAGGATAAACAAAGAGCAGGGTGGAAGGCAAAATGCACTCAGGAAAGAGCAGGGTGCCTCCTGTTCTGGACATGTGCTCAACTCATCTGAAGATGAGATTTGGTTTTATTTGAAGCAGATTAAGTAGATCAAACAGAGTGTGAGAGGTGCATCTCTGGATAAGATACAAGGCTCAACACTGACTTTTAAAAATGGCTGCCAGGCTAAAAAACCAGGCACCAACTGAAAATATGGTTGCCATTTTTCTTTACCTTATTTTTTGAGTAATAAAAATGTGACATGAAAGATTTTTTAAGAGCTTCATTACATTACCCCAACAAAACATTTGCTTCGCCATTGTCTTTAAAACAGATGCAGGCGAGTAAATGCTTCTTACAAAGCGGTTGCTGTGCATGGCGACCAAGGGTTCAAAATGGTTGTCAATGGCAACCTGGCAACTGTTACTTTCGAATCCTGAGATAATACAAATCTATACCTATTGTTCTACCTGCTTTTCTATACATAGTACCATCATCTAATGTGACTGATTACATTATAATACAATTTGTCTCTTTCACTGGAGATGATTTGCCTCTCTATCAAGAAATAAGGAGGATTTAGGGGCATCTCTTGAAGGAACACAGTAGGAGATCAATATATGACCTATATGAGACTCTGTTTTCAAAAAAGATACAAACAGTGTGGTTAATGAGCCTTTTTAGACAAACTAAATGAAAAAAACAACCTCTTTGGACACAGACTCATACTGGAAGAATGAAAAAAATGATTTCACAGAGATAGCTGGAAGGGATGTTGAAAACCAGTTCTCTATGTGGGGCTATAGGTCTCATGTGACTTGCCTGAACTTGTCAGCGACTTTTTGATTTCAAGTTTGAGCTAGTGACAGCGAAAAGCGTGGCTAAAATAACAAGTCGTGTAGTTGTACTTGAGGTGCAATGCATGAATGGCTGTCTATGTGTGGCTGGTGCACAGTACATCTGAAGTATTTGAAGGAGCTTGAGGAGCTGGCACAGTCCCAGAACAGGCCAACCTCGTTTTACTCCTGACAAAGAATCTATAAAGATACAGTAAACCACACATCATGTAAAATACACACAGCTACATTACACACAGCAGTCTGCACTGTGAGATAATGCACCATGTGACTTCACTTTAAAGACACTGATTTCACAAATCACCACTGAGCAGAAGAACTCATTGGCAAGATTGTAGCTCAAGGCTATTGAACTGCAAACTGCTGATGTCAGGACATAAGTTTCCTCCCTTCACCATTTCCCCCAGTAGCTCGCTGCTGACTTTCCAATTCCACAGAAGAAGTTTAGCACAAAGAGTTCCCTCGGTATTACTGGCTGCCAGACTGAGGCCTGGAGGTCGTCGATTGGATTATTTAAAGTTGTTTTAAATACTTTGTGCTCATACATGTAAGGTGCTGCCAGGCTTAAAGGCAAAGTCAGTAGTTTGACAACACAACCCGGCCTGAACTTGGCATTTACGCCTAGAACAACAGTGTGATGGAGTAAACAAGCTGCCTGGCCTCAGCTGACTGTTGACACTAATTCCTCAGCAGCAGTTCAGCTATAGCTGGAGACAACATTACACAGCACTGTTAAATATTGGACCAGCGTTAACTCTATTTCCCATCATTCACACTGCCCCAGAAAAATAAACCTCCTGATATTACTTTAAGATGATTCCACTGTCACAGTTGGACATGTTAACATGACTAATACCATTTGGAAGACTCTGCAGCACTGCTTCACATTGTCTCATGATCACAGCTAAAAATACAGCCTGACGTCTGTATCTTGTTTCCCCAATTTGTGAAATGATTCCATGTGACGTTTTGAGGGGGATGCAGAAGTGAAATTGCCAACGCAATGTCTGCTGAGTCGCAAACTAAAGCTGACTGTGCAATGCTGCTGATCTGAGACGGAATAATCTACATGTATTGTTCCCTGTTGGAGAGATCTGCACATTCCAGCTGCTGTAAGGTGTATTATGAACAAACAACTTGGTCTATTTTTAGAGATCTGGTCGACAAACAAACAACGGTCATGTGGCCCCATCTCTGCTTCCCCGGAAGCAAACATGTACAGCAAAATCTGGGGGGCACAGACAAACAAACAAAAAAAACGGGTAAAAACGACACCCTACCTTGTCAGACTTTGGTTTGTTCTGTAGGAGCTGCTCCAGGTACAGGTCGGAGAGCGCGGTCCGGACGCTGCTCACAGACTCCAGTATGACGGCAGGTTCGTTTTTATTGGATTTTAACGTCATCTTTCCCTGTTAGCGAGGAAAAAAACCACCCTGTGAACCCGATGTGCCCCCGTTCAAGGTCCGCAAGAGGCTGTCCGGGAGGAGGAAGCAGCAGATAAGGAGCACTGACGGTGTGATAAGTGTCTCTGAGAGAAAAGTCCAAGGTTTCAGGTGAGGAACATGAGATATCTGCTGCGGGGACACCGCTGACAAAGCAAGTAAACATGTAACTGACTGCTGCTCAGAGGGGCAGGCTCGTGATGCCTTCAGGGGCTCCCTGTAAGCTCCCAAATTCCAGCACTCGCGTTGTTTGTGTCATCATGCGTTGAGCTGTTTTTACATGGACATTTAAAGGCAATAGACTATGTAAAGAGGTGTTTTCTTCCTTTAAGGTGTCTGTTTCTTATAGTTAGGGCTACATGCATAGGCTAGATACTATACTGCCATTTGTGGTTTTCCATATGTTCTCACTTATTTCAGATATGCTGTTGCCTATGCTTTCTACCCATCAGTTAAAGTCCCCCTCCACTCAAAACATGTTGTTCTTCTTGTTCCTACAGTGTGAGCTTCACTGTGCAGAATGATGGATGTGCAGAGTTTGACACCAGAAGGATGTTTTCACATTCACCTGCTGAAAGTTTCTTTGTGCTCATCGACAGTCTACGAGCATGATTTGTGACATCACAAATAGTTTGGAAGTCAGTCCTGGGTCAGTGTGTAAGTGTGATGTAGAAACTTGAAGCTGCCAGTGCACACACACACACACACACACACACACACACACTGAGAATGGATTTTATAGTTAAGTAGGAGACATCTTGTGCCCAGCAGGAAAACCTTAGAAATGACATTGCATTACATTTGCATATTCATAGTGTGGAGTAGATGGTTTTTAAGGATTTTAATTGGGAAATTCTACTTTATTTACATATCAAACAGAGATTATTGTTCTAAATTGATTATTTGTATATGTTGTCATACATGTCTGTGGAGGATCTTTAAGCAACTGAGTGTTAACTGTAGTCTAAGAAACACTGGAAGCAAATGTATGTGTTAACTCTTATTTTACATTGTCTTTGTTGAATATCTGCATCACAATCTCCTTTCCTTTTCGATTTCACAATCTAATCCAACGAACTAAACTTTCCACCTATGACTCCACAAGGAATAATGGATACAATCATGATACATCGTGTGTGCTACCATGTCGCATGACCTTTTAACTTCACATTCTGAACAATAAACCCTCATATTCCTCCCTCCATGCAGTTCGTGGACACTCAACATGCAAACCCCAACATTTCCGACGGTCCGTGAATGCAGCATTACCGCAGCGTTCTCAGCAGGGCTGCACTAACAGACAACAAGGAAGCAGAATAACGGAGCGCATCTGACGGTGCTCCCACAGAGGTCCATCACGGGACAACGCGCCGAGCTGCGGATTGTCTGAATCCTGATTGAAACACATGAATACAACAATCGTTGGCACTCAAACCACATCGTTCATTAATGTAGGCCTGCTGGCGTTTCAGGCACACACCCTCCAGCCAAAGGGCAACAGTGCTGCAACATGCACGGGTGTGCTTTTATAAGATTGATCAGATTAATAAAGTTAAGCAATGTAGTCAACGGGGGGGGTCATATACCTGAGGCCATCAGACCCACCCTCCTTGGATTATCTATATGGTCTTTTAATATTAGCTCTGGGAACCATAACACATAGTGTATTCCTATCTATGTGTAATAATGCCTACAGATGCAACATTAAAAAGCATCTATACACTTTAAGTGTATATAATACTTCAAGTATTAGTAGAGTTAGTGGACACATATTTACATGTATAAATCTGGTTATTTTCTCCAATGGTTCCAGGCCCTTTTACACCTCAGATTAAAAATGCATTCACACAGCCTTCACTTTAGACTCCTGAAAAAACACAAAAGCCCAGGCAGAAGGAATACAAATGATTCTTTACTTTACTTTTCTATATGTACAAATCCCTCCTGTATCTGTATAACCTCCTTTTTATATCACAATCTCACAACAAATTCATAACGACGGGTAATGTCCCCTCACAATAAATAACTTAATATAACATTCAACCTGTTTTGATTCTCTGTCATGTTGTATGTATGCTGTATCTTCTTCTATTAAATGTCCTTATTCATTTATTTATTTGGAAAAGCAGTAGGACCAAGGCTATGCTGTACAGACAGCCGAGCCCCTGCTCTTCACTGTGAAGCAAAACAGACTGGGTAACTGGGGTAAAAGGAAAGAGGTATTCAGCCAGCGTTAACTCCCTGATAAGCAGCCTATTTTCAGAGGCGACTCCAGAGGGCGCCAGCATGCAGGTTTGTATCAGCCATCCACGGCTGAGATGGCCCGGCTGTTAATGCCTGGCCTCTTATGAAGAGGGTTAGTGAAATTTAGTTCCAGGAACACGCATAACAGTGGAAACAAAAGCAGAACCCACGAATAGCTACCTGCGAAGGTACGGGTAGAAAAGGCTTTCATGCTGTTGAGTGAGCAGCAAACAGTTTGCCCTAATTTACCCACTAGTTATTGTATTATATACTATAGTTCCATCACTGAAGTCCATGTGACATCCATTTACTCCCTGTCTGCCTGCTAGTTACCCCCAGAGGTTCCCACCACTACCAGTCTAGGGTTTTCTGCTCACCTCACCATGACATCAGAAACCACTCATACACTCATGTCTTAAAGGTCCAGTGTGAGGCACGTGGTATTCAGTTAGTTGCAATCTCACCAGTAGATGCCACTAAATCCTACACACTGGTCCTTTAAAATATTAACCTTCAGGCGCTATTTCACACAGACGATACCATATATTTTATACCATATATGGTTTTTTTTTGTCATGGGCCTTTTTCACACAAGACATTTTGACATGTAACAGCAGGAAATGGCTGCTTCATTGTGCATGCTAGCCTACTACGACACAAAGAACGGAGCCATTGTTTTTGTTATCACCTGTGCTTTTCCTGCGGTGATAAGTCAAAATGTCTGCTGTGAAAATGGCCCATTGTTGTCATCTACTAATATTGATCACAAGATGAGACGTGTAGAGATGTAGGCCACTGCCGCCCCGGCTGAACAGTTCCCTGAGGGACACCCTGCAGTTACCTAATCTCTCACCTGCCTGCACCTCTCAGCCACTCTGTTTTGCCTCAACTGCGCGTCCACCTCTTTATTTCTGTCAGCTTTTCCCCAGACTAAAGACTGGTTTATCCTCTGCTGCTTGTTGTCTTGAGCCCCACTGTGTGAGCCCAAAGGCACAAGGTTTTCCTCCTCGCTGGATTGGGTGGGCAGATATGAACTGTGAACTGTGTTTTGTCCACTCCATGTATATCAGTGAGGGTAGGACCAATAACAGAAATACGGTATTATGCAATGCAGTTCAACACAAACTGCAGCCTCCAAAATGATCATAAGAATGAATCAACACCTCATTAACAGTTTCAGCACTGAATGATTTATTGCAGGACTGCTGTGTTACACTGCTTTCAATGTATCTTGGTGAACCTAACACTGGCAGCTAAAGTGATGTCAGTTAAATCAGGTCAACACCAATCGCCTATGCCACTTGTTGTTCTGAACATCCGGGCATTGACCGAGGGGACTACGCATGTGCTAAACCGGTCGAATGGCTGCGGTTAATCTCTGAGCTACAATATGAAATCAAACTCACAGGAGGACCTGTGGTGCGTTTAATAATTAATCTCGTTCTCTCTCGAGACATTGAGACATTTGACGAGATGAAAGACTTACCTGTGTGAAGGTGCAGCGCTTTAAGAGAAAGAGAGCACTTTTACTACAGGGGGCATGCACTGCTGCGACTGCACGGGAACCTCTCGGCACACAAGAACGGGGCTATCAGGTTAAGTTTTAGGTTTCGAAAATTTAGGGGTTTTTTTGCGATCGGGATGTTGGGCTCGTTCAGCAGGAGATTGCGACCCGCGTTGAAACAGGCGCAGGCGCTGTGCGGTGTGCCATGGAGACACCAGACGCAGAGCCGTGCGTGTGCTGCGCGTCCAGCAACTTTTCAGTCACTTGAAGACTGTCTTGGTGAGTGTAATTACATGTTAACTCAATGTATATACCCACCATTGAGTCCGAATTCGCCACTAAGCGCTGCATATGCAATCCCCAGTGGTCGACTACGGAGGGACGCCGATGCGTTTTAACTACGTGTGGCTGCGGGATCACTGCCGCTCTGAGGCTTCGTACAACTCCAAGACTAACCAGAGAAACCTGGACACTGGGAGTATAGAGCTCACTATCCGCCCCGACAACACGAGTGTGCAAGATGGCCATCTGGTCCTCACATGTAAGTCATAAACAATGGTGACAAACGGATCATCTGGAAACTAAACTGTGAGTTTCCGAGGTGATCAGTCAGGTCAAGTGTGTTAAGGTTCTTGTCCCACTGGCTGCACCTCACAGCAGATCATTCAAAATCAATGCATCCTAATGGCACTGCAATAAAGTTATTACACAAGGCTGGATTAGTGAGGGCAATGGACCCAGACCCCCGCTGGCTCCAGAGACCCCCAGGTTGACTGCATGCAACCAGGGGGTCCAACTTTGATTAACTGCAGATATGTTGTGAAAAAAGTGCAATATTAACCATGGTTAGTGCAGCAGTATTGTATAATGCTGTGGTCTCTAGCAAAAGACTTAGTTCTGATGTATGGGAACAAAGAAACTTAAAGCTCCATGCTGAAATACAGTTTCTAGTACTAACAAGTTCATTGGGAGAGCCCTCACATTTGCTTGATTGGTTATTCAGATATATCACAAATAGTTGCATCCACAATAGCATTTGATACAAAAAAGTCTTACAACAAATGATCACCGTGCAACTTACAACATTCAGCCATTGATAATGCATTTTCATTGAGCAGGCAAACAGTCATCAAGAAAACAAAATGCAGAAATGATTCAATTTTAATTTTAATTCACAACATGAGCTCATTTACTTTTAGTGAACCAAAACGCTGCATTGCATTGTTATATGTTCCACACAATACATAAGCAGGTGACTCGAGTGTTGAATTAGGCCAACATAAAAGCACATGATCCTTACATATCACAGGTCCCTCTATAGGCAGGTGGGAAGTGGACTTTTCCCTCTGTGATCATGCTGTGTAAAGATTCACTCAGCTGTCAGGTCACCCTTGGGGTGTGGTCAAGACATGAAATAAAACCCTGGACTGTTTCGGAATACCATAAAAAAGGCTCTATTTTCAGAATATGCAAGTGTGTTATAGTGCATAATTATATGAAAATAAAATTGTGTTTTTATCTCCTTCTTCAGAGTCCGCCATGTTGAACTACCCTGTTTCTACAGTAGCCCAGAACAGACAAACCAAACACTGGCTCTAGATAGGGCCAGTTTTCTGTGAGTTCTGCAGCCACTGTAGTTTCTCCTACACGCTTTGAAGGCAAGCTGTATTCAAATGGTTGGTTCCTGCAACTTCACAGCTAGTTGCCGCTAATACCTTCACACTGGTCCTTTTTAAAAAGTCATTATGCATCAACCTCTATCAACAACCAGTGAACTGCAGCAGTATTTAACAAACTGGCACAGTAAACATTTGACACTCTTGCATAAAAAGATTAGACCAAGGAATATATTTTCTGCTCATGTAGCATATTCTTTTCATCAGTAGTTGACATATTGAATAAGAAATGCAAACCCGAATTGTTACTTGTGTCCAGTAAAACAGAACTCCAAGCCATCACTCAGCTATTCCCCTGAAAGGCCTCAGCACAGCAGGCAGAGTTGAACTAGCTTAACCAGTACTAATCCCTGTCTAGCTGCAGCCATCCTTTATTCTGTCTCCAGCAGCAGCCTGCTCCTGCACACAGAGGGAAAAAAGGCCATGTGGGATTTAGCTGCCTTCTTTTGTAATAAGAGGAATAAACGGTCCCACAAGCAGCCAGGTGTGGAAAAGGAAACCGATGCTGTGTCCCTTGCCGGCTGCTCATGCTCACAATTTCCCCCTGCCTTGTGACCCCCCACAGCCCGGCTTGGGTCAGGTCTGACATGAGCAGGAAGATAATTGTAGTGCTGGAACATTCAGTTTCTGAAATAGGGAGCACGATAAGGCTAGGGAGATACCATCACTACAAGCTTTTCATACTGTAGACGTGCAGGCAGAGTCTGGCAGCTCGGAGATGACCACGCTTTATATATGTGGGCGTCTGTCTGGCTTATGCTACTAATTTAAGACTGACTGATGCCTCCCTGTGGGCTGCTGTGCTTCAGCATTTAGTTAGTGTTTTTATGTATGCACAAGAGTGGCACTGAACCTTACATAATCTGACAAATGGGGACTCGTCAGCCCCAAGACAGTTGATGATGCACATACTCCTGTGGGCATACTGGCACTTGCCTCTGTGCCTCTCCTTGTTAGTGGTGCATATTCAAGGTCAGCTGAATCTGGGTGTGCACATCCTATCCATGAACACTGGCCCTCGCAGACTTGGTTTGCTAAATGCTCAAATCAGGAGAACAAGGGCCCCCATGGATACCCATGTTGCATGCGGATCAGATCTACTCTAAATGACGGTACATTTAGAGAGCTTATATGAGCTGTTCTGTAACCCTTTATAACCTGCTGTAGTCCAGCATGTTATTCTGAGGTTGTTCCATTTATTTTTCTGGTCATGTTCGTTCTGTACTTTAGATAAAACAGTATAAAATGGTCACTAACACTGAACTCAGTTTATTTAAACTTAGCTATCATTATCCAGCAGTTGAATTCAGAGAAGAATGTTGTGCAAAGTATTCAGTCTTACTTTGAAACAGGACCAGATTAACCCACCAAGTGACCTGGGGCAAAATTTAGCATTCACACCCAGTACCCTATGCTCCCTTTGCAATGTGTACATTCTGTTGGATCCATCACATACAGAGCACACGACAACCATTAAATCGACCAGGGCTCCTTGAAAAATCTGCCCCATGTTTGCTGTGTTAATTTGTTTTTGGCAGATTATTTAAACAAACATTTATTCAGGCATTTGTAAAATGTAAGCTTAGAAATTGAAATGAAAAAGGTAGGTTTTGACACAGGGCCCATTGAGAGGACAGTGCTTTAAGATAAGAAATTAGTTTTAAGATAAATAAACATGCTTAGACAAGTCCAAGCTTGAATATATACCAACTTAATTTCTTAGAAAGCTGTAAACACATGATGTGCCTCTGTCAAAGACTATTGGGGCCGTGTATCTAGAGTTTTTTCTGGATTAATAGGTAAGGCCATAATAAAACAATCCAATTTTACTGCTCTTCAATCATCATTTACTGTTAGAATTAAATAAAATATAGTGCAAGTTGTTGTTGGGAGGTCGTACAGCTGCCTACAAAATGTTAGTCCCAACATGGCTACTTCCTCATGATATTGTCATGATACATATTTTGTATATCTTGTGTTAACTTCAGCCATCTACTGCCCGCATTATAAAGCAACATCCTCCACTTTGGAGATGCGGCAGTGTAAATAAAGAGCAAGCTCTGTGGGCTATGAACAGAGGAACACTATATGTTACACCTTCCTGTATTAACTATGGTTGAGCAGTCTATGGGAGACCCCGGAGTGGGTTGTTGGGGGGGTGGTTATAAAGAGGGAGGCTGCCATGGGGAGGGATGATGAGGGCCTTTTATAAATAGTTCATAAAGATATGGTTTTATAGGTTAAGGTAGGTGTGTAGGTGTAGGTGTGTGAGTGAGTGCTAGCCCTGCTTCGAGCTTACAACCCCCGCAACTATGCAAAGGATAAGCGAGTATAGATAATTGGTGGATAGACGTACCTAATAACAATATTTTCCATTTCTGTGTCCCAGGGCCTGGTGGTCATGTGTCAAAGTACAGCCTTAGCTGGCTGGCTGAGAATAGCTACGAAGGACAGCAGCAGAACGCCGTCCAGCCGCGAATCCTTTGGAATTCAGACATCTATAAAAATGCCAACGTACCCTCGGCCAAATGGGACACGTTTATGAGCTGTGATGATGAAGTAAAGAAGTTTCTTCAAAACTATCTTCTGTACGGGATCGCTTTTGTAGATGATGTCCCAGCTACAGTCGAGGCCACAGAGAAGGTCACCCAGAGGGTCAGTCTTATCAGGTAATACAAGTTCTTTTTGCTTTTTATACTACTGTTGAAACAAATGGCTTCCTCATGCAACTTATTCAGGATCAGGCTTGCATTCAGTGGCAACATTCACAGAAAATGCAGAAGATGTCCAGCTTCGTCCATTCTTTCCTAATCTACTTGCCATGTGTGTTACTGATCCACAAGGGAGACTACGTATGGAAGGATGTGGTGTTTTACTTCAGATTTTTCCAGAGGAGACACTGCCTACAGCCAGCTGGCCCTGGATCGACACACTGACACCTCATACTTTCAGGAACCATGCGGGTAGGTGCAGGAGAGATGGACTGATATGAGATTTCAAAACCGCCCCAATGAACGGTGGAAGTGAAAGGATAATCCACAGACCTCAATGTCAACAGCTTAGACTGAGCAGTTTTAATTTTGATATATCTTAAATAAAACCCATGAAATTGTTTATTTTTAATAGCAAACCATAGAGTAGCTTTAAAATAACAATATATTGATTGCTTTTGCAGAATCCAGGTTTTCCACTGTCTTAAGCACGAGGGGACTGGAGGAAGGACACTACTTGTGGATGGCTTCTACGCTGCTGAAAAAGTACGCCGGCAGTCTCCTGAAAACTTTGAGCTACTTGCCCGAGTGCCCATCAGGCACGAATACATTGAAAACACAGACAACCACCGAAACCACATGACCGGCATCGGCCCCCTGCTCAACATATATCCTTGGAACAACGAAATGTACCTGATCCGGTACGTCTGCGCTTTGATTTAATGTCATTTTACATTGCATTCACATTTTAAAATTCAGCTTCATTAGCTTCACTGTTAGATACCTTTTACATTTTGCAGTATTTTCTTTCAGTGCATCATTTTATGCACATTTGTATCAACATGACATTCAGTAGTTATTACCTTTCAAAATCTCATATTATTGACTACAACTACAAAATAAATCTGTGGCTTTGTACATTGTCAAGCTACACAATATATGTTGGATTTTAATGTTGAGGTTGAATAGTGTTACGTTTGAGCTTTAAAAATCTCACTATTTATGTCTCAGTAGTTAGAATAGTTCATTTCTTGCTATTTTTATATCGTATTTTAAAAACAAATATTTAATAGTTTTAAAGGTGTGATGAAATGTTTCAAACTCAACAACACTATTTATGTACCCTTTTTTTAACAGATACAACAACTATGACCGATCAGTGATGAACACAATCCCCCATGACCTCGTTCAGCAATGGTATGTGGCACATCGAGAGCTGACAACAGAACTAAGGCGGCCAGAGAACGAGCTGTGGGTGAAACTGACTCCAGGGAAAGTAAGACATTTATAAATGCTATTCTTAATGTCAATTTCAGTCAATCAATTTACAGCTTTAGGATAACTGAAAAATAAACAGAAAGATGCAAATGTAAGTGTAATTTGGTTTAATCTAAGGATTACCCTCTCTTGTCTTGATTAGGTGATCTTCATAGACAACTGGCGTGTCATGCATGGGAGGGAGTCTTTCACCGGCCTGAGGCAGCTCTGTGGGTGCTATCTGACCAGAGATGACGTCCTCAGTGCTGCACGCTGCTTCGGTCTGCGGGCCTGATCCTGGACATGAAGGTCCCTTCACTTCTGTGCCTTATCGGTTAGCCTACAGTGCATTCAGGAAGTGTTGAGCCCCACATCACATTTCGTTATGTTGCAGCCTTATGTTCACATCATTTGAGTTCATTTTTTCCATCATCAGTCTACACTCAGTACCCCAAAAAGGACAAAGCGATAACTTCTGTATTTTTCTCCATTCTCGATCCTTTCCCTCAAACCTGACCAGTCCCTCCCAGCCTGCTTCACTATTGGGATGGTATTGTGCATATGATGAGCGATGCCTGGTTTCCTCCACACATACCGCTTAGAATTAACGCCAAAAAGTTCAATCTTGGTCTCATCAGACCAGAGAATCTTCTTTCTCATAGTCTGAGACCCCATTATTTTTATGGGACTTGCACTGAGGAGAGGCTTCCGTCGGGCCACTCTGCCATAAAGACCAGCTCGGGGAACTTTTGCAGTGATGGTTGTTCTTCTGGAAGTTTCTCCCATCTCTATACAGGATCTCTGGAGCTCAGCTAGAGTGATCATTGGGTTCTTGCTTACTGAGTGTAGATTGATGAGCAGGATTTGAACTATTTTAGCATAAGACTGCAAGATAATGTGGGAAAGGTGAAGGGGTCTGAATACTTTCTGTATGCACGGTAGAGCTTTTATCAAATTTGTACTGAAAGTTTTCTTTGTTCTGAACAATCAATGTGTCTCACTCCTGGCGCTTGTTGTATTTTATTCATCCTTGTTCATTATTTTGTAATTTATGTAATTGATTATTCTTTTTGTATCAGTTTAAAAATGTTATCTGAATGTGAATGTCTCCTGAATTACACTTGAGACAATAAACGTTCTCAAATGCCTTGATATTGTTCATACAATACAATGCTTGTGCAATAATATGATCACATTGAAATGGTGTAATGCAGTACAGGACTGCACAAAATGCATAAAGGAGTCTGTAATATTACCATTCAGACAGTATCAGTATAGTAATTTAAAAAAACATAGCACTAAACAGAAAGTACAGTTGAGGCTGATGGGAATGTCAGTAGTACTTGGACAATGTTGGAAATTTTTCCAAAGTTATTACAATTCTCTGTAATCCTCTGGGGACCATGAATGTCCAAACAAAATTTAATGCCAATCTATCCAAAAGTTGAGATGTTTCAATCTGGACCAAAGCAGTGGACTGACAGACTGAAGGTTCCCTCCATAGCATGGCTAAAAGGAACACTTTAATCTGAGGTTGATGTACACCTAAATGAAAACAATGAGTAACATGCTACAATAATATTACAGAAAGCTGCATCCAAAGTCCAAGAGTTCAAGTGACAATAGGATTACTGTATTATTTTTATATTACTTTAGTGTGTGTGTGTACCTCTCAGTCTAAATACAAACCTATTTAAGTCAGACAACTGGGAAATGATACTTTCCAGAAACAGATTGGAAATGTGTGCTTGGTTTGTGATTATGGAGTGTGAGGCATGTAGTGTGTATAGCAGTACAGCTTGAGTGGACTACCTGAACTAGCTTGCAGACGTCGCCCCATTTTAACAGGATTCACTGTCAATGACTTCTCTACAGATGTCGTCATTAGATCAGGATTTGTTTGCTGTCATGTTTACTTCTCAAAAAATTATTTAATGTATTTATCAGTTACTGGAATAAAGTTTTTTTCAAAGGACCAAATGAGTCACTTTGTTAAGATTTAGATAGTATTAGTTAAGGAAATGCCACATCTCAAAGTCAAAAGTCAAAGTCAAAGTCAGCTTTAATGTCAATTCTTCACATGC